AGCTATACCAGCCATAATGACTCAGATGTCCTCTGACTATTATGAATTATAAGCACAATCTACCACTTTTACCACAGGATTAAAGCTACATGGTATAAAGTGAAATCTAACAGAGATATTATCTACTAAAGTTACATTGCAGTCAATGGTAAAAGTCAACCATAGGCCTTGTATGACATCACGTTTAGCCACACCCCCTGACAGGATGTAAAATGGCAGGAAGCAAAATGAGCATATTTGAAGGCTCATATCTCTGTGAATAATTTTTTCCAGACAATGAAACTTTCCATACAGCATTTTTATGATCTTATGATCATGTTAGGTCAATAAAAAAATACCCCAAAAAATCATTTCAGTTACACTTTAAGTACCTATCAACCCTTTCTTATTTCTGAAACTTCATTACACTGAAAGAGAAATCACTTCTTAGATAGGCGTTGTTTCTTCTGTTTGTAAAAATAATATCAAAAAATTTAACAAAATTTAGTACTGGTAGTTTCAATTCAGAGTCTGACTTTGTATCCACATTCAAACCCTGAACAATTGATCATTGTTGTTACAACTATTTCCAAACAGCACATGTTATACATTCATTTTTATTTCAGATATTAAGATATCTAACTGGGGCTCATTTACTTCACAATTTCAAACATGTCGTAATGACCTAGAAGTATATTATTAATATTATTGACTAAACAATTTACTAAGATACTTTAGACTTTGAAAAGTTGAGACTACCCAATGTCTAAAAACAGTTTAAGGTATCCGTTGGGGTTAATAGTTAACATTTATATTAATAAAAGTTTAATGATTTACTGGGACTGGGTATGATTTTAATTCATATGTGACAATAGAAAAAGCAAACTAAACATTTTAAAACAAGACAAAAATTCATATAATTTTAATCACAAATCATACCCTGCATAAAAATGCCCCACAGTCATAATTATTACTTTGCCTTGGAACTACCTAATATATCAAAAGGATGGGCATCAAGAAAGAATGCAAAATAAATCTAACTTCTTCACTGAAAGAGCAATAAGTCATATCTTTCATCAGCCCTGACCCTATTAGTTTAGTTATCAGATGTCTGTTATTGGAACTTAATTAGCGATAAGTGCCAGAGATACAAGTATACTTAATTGGCTTAGAAATGTAACCGCCTATGGAATCCATAACTGTAACTAAACTTCGTTTAGGCCAAAATACCTATTTCAGTAATATTTAATAATACTAGCTTGATTTAAAGTCTCACAGCAAGTATCCAATGATTCCTGATACAGGAAGGCAAGAGTGTACTAGATTTATTACTGAGGTCTTCCTATTTGATCAAAATATGGGTACCAAACAAGAAAGACTTTAAAATAACCGTAATGTAACAATTCATGTTTTCTAAATTTCCATTGAAAGCCTTAGTAAATACATAAGAAGTTAATGCACATGATTGACAAGAATCCTATGTTAGCACCAGTTTAATACTAGTTATTTTATTATAATGTTAGAGGTCATACCATCCATAATGATATAAAACAGAGGAAGTAATTGATAAACTAGAAAAAGAGTAAAAAGTCAAGAAAACACTTATACTCTTACTGCATCATTCAGCGATTTACCTTGGTAAACCCTGGCCTGACCTTCGCAAAAAACGGAGAGTCAGGACACACACGGTCATCACTTTTGTTCTGGGGTGTGGCTGCTGCAGCAGCTAGTATGGGTATGGCTCATTCATTATAATTACAACACCCATATACGTGTTTGTAATGAAACCATGAGCTCTCTCCTTTGCATTGAATGTGGCAAAGATGTCACTAATGATTCAAAGAACAGATATAACCCTATGTCAGAGCATTGTAAAAAGGCAGTTGAATTGTGGAAGAGGCTGCTTTATAGGGAACAATCCGAGTTGAAAGACTGTGCTGATGGTCTATTAGCTTGATGTAGACTGTGCAGACACTTCCTCAGCTTTACAGAGACTCAAGAAGCTAGAAGATAGTGCCTTTAGCAACATGGAAGATGCCCTGTCCTCTTTATTAAATTCTGGTTTCATCACATATATAAGTACAGCTGAAGAGCCACAAAGGAAAAAGAAACGTTACACTAGAACTAGTACTCCTACTTCGAGTGGCATTAAGAGTAATTTGAATGATTCACCAGATGTTGCAGTAAGATTATCTATTAATCAATCATTAAAATTAATTTACTCTTCTGTAGATTGTAGTCAAGACAGGAGAATTTATGAAAAAGTACAATCTACCACCTGATCGTAAAGCTGCTAGTATAGCATTAGCTAGAAAGAGCATGAAAAAGGTGGCTAACCAATTCCTCATAATTAGAAAGTCACATATTTATGCCTTGCAAAACATCGGAAAGACTGTACTAAAGGAAGTGAAATCTTTTGTTGCAATGTCAGATCAGTCTTTATTTGGAAGCCATTCTATGAAAGATGTTAGAGACTTTGAATGGGATCAACAATATCAAGAAATGCTGGAAACAGCTCCTACTTTATCCTCAATTCTTTTCTTAGCTACTAAGTGTAGAAAAGAATGTAGTAATAGAATTGGTGTCATTTGCCTGTGCATGGCCATGATCCTCAAGTATCAATCCAAAAAAATTGAATTTCTTTCAAAGGATAATAAGTTTGGTGCTTCATGACAATAATTGTTCAAAAATGGTAAAAATTTTAAGTATATCCATAAATTTAATTTTTGTTAGGTGTTTAAGCAACTGAAGTCTGTGGAAGTATCTGTGTCTTATGACACAATTATTTGATTGGTAGATCAGCTTGGACTCAATCATGATGCCAATGTGAAAGAATTGAGAGAAGAAATTTCAAAATACTTACAAGTATAATGCTGTATTTTATTTCAATATTTTAAGTATTTGTAGGTTGCTAGCACTACTGTATCAAATATACTTCTGCCTAGAGTCATCATCTGATGATATAGAGTCAACATCTGATGTACAGTCTACAGCCCCATCTATGGATAATGAAGACTCATATAGTGATCCTAGTACCCAACCATACTCTCTTGCTTCTACTGAAAGTGATAACTGTGATGTTGTTTCAGACAAACATGAATCTGATCAGGAAGTAGCTGGTACTGAAATACAAGGTAATACATATTCTTTACCTTCATGGTTGACCATTTCTATTCATAGTGCCAGTCCTTAGTTTTAATAGCTCCACTGCTACTTCACTGGTCCTTAGTTTTAATAGCTCCATTTCTACTTCATCTGTTGTTCCATCTGCTAATTTCAAGCCATGGAGCTTCAAATTGTTGGGGACAATATTGATTCTAATGTGACACAACGCTACATGAGAGTCAATAAGCAAACAGAATCTCGACACTATTTTCATAGTTATGCACTTCGTGAGAATTAGCATTTCTTCACTACCACCTGTTACGCCACAATTATGTTTTCAATTTCAATGTGTTAGAGCTGAATCTCTTTCACCAACTCCATCTGATAATGATGCAATCATTGCCAATCTCAAAGTGTTCTTTGGTAGCATTTTATGTGAGAACCTCTCATTTGTTGAGAAGTGCTTTGAAGATCTGGTACCAAGTCACATTATTCAAAGAAAGTCGAGTGAAATGTCTCTAAAATCAGATATTGTAAGTTAATGCCATAATTATAACTTTCAAGCAATATTCTTTCATAGATACCTCTGGGCATTATTTTGAAGAGTGAAAATAAGACCAAAGACATGATTGATATAATAATAGAGCATCACAAATACGTTCCACATTTAGAGAAGACAGAAACACAAAGGGTTCCAGGCACCTGTGAGACTGAAGAGGTATCTGTTCCTGTATTGCACCAAATCAGGTTTGGTAGTGACCACTTAACTAAAGTTCGTGCATTGTCAGCTATAAAGCAAAGAGTAAACCCAGACACTCCAGTTGACAGGTGTGAGGGTATTATACCAGTTATTGAAGACTGGCACATGAAGTTGACCCTGTTTGAGGTTAACATAATACCTTTTTATGATTATCAATTGTGTATTATAGGTCATTTGGAAATACTTTTACTCTAATAAATCAGTATTTGACCATGGCACTCTATACCAGCTACGTAATTTGATTAGTTGGTCAAACATGACCACTTCCCCTAAAAATAACATGAACGCTTGCAAAGATTTTTTTTGCCTAATTGTGCATAGCTTAGTAAATCAGCAACAATGTCAACATTGGGAATTGAGGATGTCTGTGAATGGCCAAAAGAAGTGCCTGAAGGTCTATGGATTAAGGAAAAAGAAACACGAGCAATTGAAATGGATCATATACTGACTCTTGTCATTAATTTGTTAGTAAAAATAAGATATAATTCGACATTGTGCAATCAAGATAGTATTTATCACTATACTGATCAACTTCTTACTATTGGTTCCATATACCATGAAATGAGTGATGCAATAAGAGAGGGAGATGGTGAGCGACTCATTTGAACCTGGAGGTATCTCGATAATTTTTCACAATTCTAACAGAAAGAACTATGCAAAAGATGCTGTACTTTTGCTACACCAGTACATGTACGAACTGTCTTCTCAACAATCAGAGCAACTTCTGTTTAACAGATTTGTAAATACACATGGTGGTTTGGGTAGAAACATATTGGCAGATCTACATATGGAACATCTTAATAAAATAGTAAAAGATGCAATTTCAAGAATGAGTTCATCTAAATCTGAAAATGTAATCATAAGGTTGGGTAAAGCAATTAGTACCCTCTCTCCTATACTAGACAATATTGATAAAGCAAATCATATAAGAGATCCCAGAGGCAGGAGAAAAAAGTCAAATTTGAAAAGGATCTGCAAATAGTTGTTACTGAATTGATAAAAAATGATGCATTTTTAAAAATACCTCAAAGAAAATTGTTTCAAATTCATCAATAAACCCAAAATCGCTCTTACACAAAACAGACAAAACAGAACTAATACAATGGATTATAACACACATTTAAAGTAATAAGGTATTTTGACATACATCACAACATTATTTCTTTGGCACATTATGTTTCTCTTTATCATATCCTTCTAATCTTTTAAATAATAAGTGTCTTCTGCATTCTGATGAGTTATTTGCATATTCTCTCATCGCATTATTAGCATATTGCAAAGATGACTTTTTGTTTAATAAAATAGCTTCACAGGGGAGTCCGTCACGACCTCCACTGCCAGTCTCCTGAATGTATGATTCTATGTCATCTGATGGTCCTACATGCATTACAACCCAAACGTTGGGACTGTCCACACCCATGCCAAATGCGATTGTAGCACAAACAATACGAAGAGTATCACCTTTTGTGAATGAGAGAATGATTTGCTGTTTTATGGCTTCATCAGTGCAGCTTGTAAACATTTCAACAAGTTTGTACTTTGATATTGATAGAGCACCAACTGGGTGTGATAATTCCTGTGCAAGAGTATTCTGGAAAAAAATATACCAGACTGCACATTCTTCAACTTTTTGGCAGTAAATAATAGTTCGGGGATAAAAATTTCTGTTTCTTCAAACCTTCAACAAAATGCATGAAATTGCTTTCAAGTGAATTATATTCATGAATTTTGTATGTGATATTAGGTTTGCAAGGTGGAAGAACAACAGACAAAGGTGACTTCATGCCAATAATGTATTGAAGTTCAGTATGTAACGTGTAATCAGCAGTTGCTCTTAATGCCATGACGGATGTTTTTTCTGGTAATAAACTTTGTAGTTCTCCAATTTTAGTAAGGGATTCACGAAATGTAGAGCCCCTATTAAAATTACTTCTTATTAGTATTCAATTGTGATTATCAAATGACGTACCACTTCTTGATAGTACGAGCTTCATCAAGGGCAAGACCTTTTATCTTGGTTTGATATGTTGCTGAAATAAGTAATTTCTCCATTCGTATTCAATTGCAAGCATTTCAGGAGTAAAATATATTAATTGATACTTGCAATTTTCAACTCCAGCTGTCATGGATTATCATCATTTTCTCCACAAATGTAGCCACAACTAATACCCTTCTTCTGATGAGCTGATACCTATAGACAATGATCTATTTTTGTATATGAAATCAATCATTCTTACTTGATCTCTAATCATTGCAGTCAATGGTGTTACAATAATAATGATAAATCCCTTCTCTGACGAAAATGCATCAAACAAAAATGGGAGAACCATGTAACAAGGGACTTTCCATAGCCTGTAGGAAGCACCACAAAGATATCCTTTCCTTCCAGAATTGCCTTCACTGCTACTACATGCTCGTCTTTCATTATATAACCTAGCTAACTTTTGACATCTCTCATAAAAATATCCATTTTAAAAATAATTATTCACGAGTAATAATGATATTCATTTAGTAGGTAACGTCAATAATCGTCATTTCCTGCCAGCGCAGTATTCTTGAACTCAGAACAAAAGTGATGACTGTGTGCGTCCTGACTCTCTGTTATTCGCAAGGGTCAGGCCCTGCGTGACTAGGTAAAACCTACTCTGATCACATATAGTGACACTTGTGTTGTTTTTGGCAATAGTGAGGTACACTATAACAGTGATGCAGTCAATTAAAATGGAAATGTTTCAAAAACCTTCATTGCTTTCCTCAAAACATGGCTTCTTGCTGCTTGGTAAATCTTGAAGAATGTCCAAATTATGCATGCTTAAAAGTATCTGTATATACCTTCACTTCAGGTTTCTTTTGTAAACTACTGGGTTCCATACTATCTATGATTAAATGTACAAGTATATCAATATTAATTTGTGCAGTCTAGTGTCTATCATCTTTCATGTCATGACACTCACATAACACAACACTGCTTCCTTTTACTGCTTTCACCAAACTTGACCATATCTAAACAATGGTGCCATTTTTCACAAAGCTAAACAACCGCCTCCCAGCTACATATCAATTATATCACAATTGTCGGTGACTATAGTATACCTCTCTTGACTACATTATCAATAATACCTGTGAATGAATCTATTTCTTCCTCTACTGCGATATAAAAATTTCAAGCATGTGACACAGTTGTTACAACATTATCACAAGCTTGCCACATTGTGACAACCTTGTTAAAACTTACTAGTTGCAAGACATGATGGACATTGTAGATAGGCTGTCACCAACTTGATTAGAACCTTCGCACAACAACGTACATGACATGGTTGTGACAAGGTTGTCACATTAGAAGCACATTATTTGTTATTGTACCATGCCGATTTGCAATGGAGCTATGAAATTGGCTGCGTTGGAGGTAAGTAAAATCACTTAAAACATTATACGTACGAGACACCAAAGGTGCGTGGCCTCGCTCCTGAAGCTGTTTGGGAGGTGTTAGGCTTAGCTAGCCTAAGCCAGTATACTATATTTATACTTATTGCACTCATACATCATGGGTTATAGTCAAAACCACAGCTTTTGTTGTGGCCACTATCTATCCAAAACATACTATGCAAAAAATTTAGAAAGTGTGCTCTTGAGGCCAAGGGATTATCATAACAGCTAGCTTCCCAGCTGCAGTTACACTTGCTCTTGCATGCAGAAGTGGCAAGCTCCAGAGCCAACTCCCAACTTGGTCCTGCTTGGAGGCGTGGCATTATTAGCAATAATGCAGCAAGACCATGTGAGAGGGAAGCTTCAGGTTTTTTCTTCTTCTAAGCACTATATGATGTTATAATGGCACAAATACTGTTGCTTAGATAAATTGAGTGACTTGAGAGAATTTAGGATCCTTAGATTAGTGAACTAACTGCTACAGCACTTCACTCAGGATGAAATTCGATAGCTATAACTCACCAACAAGAAAGACTTAAAGAGTTCCACACAAATTATATAAATAAATAGTCTTGATCAACTGGGAGAGTCTCATTTACCTCCAGAGTACTACCGCTATTGCTGGGCATTTTCTTGTGAGTTAAAAAGCTTGTGCTACCTAGAGCTGCTCTCTAAACATCTCGAGGCAGTAAAGCAAGACTCTTCGTAACAGAAGAGAAGCTGTCACAGGTTTTATAGCGCGCGATTGTATAGATATACATTTTCAAAGACAAAATTTGGCACACAATGAATGACAGACAGCCAACCCGAGTACCTAGTCCCTGGGTGAGGCCAATTACTATTATTTATTGCTGTTGTATTTATTTATTTATTTATTATTATTATTATCGTTTTGTATGAGAAACTAAGTAGCTGAATCAATTTCAACAGTGTTTGGAAAGCAACTAGTATATGTTTGATGACAAATAAATTATCACAATTTTCTCAATGATTCTATCAGCCAAGATAATAATGATGTTTTTATTGCTACAGCAATAATAAAACAATTATAATTTATATTTTCTAGGCACATATTTCAACTCACTTAATAGGGTGACATGCAAGAAAATGGTTGTTGAGTGTAGCATTAGTGATTATATCTGTACATGGTGTGAAAACTTTTTTATTACACCATAACACAGTTTCACCATTACTGTAAGAAACACCTTAATTGTCTCATTTTGTTCCTAACGACTTACACCATGATGTTACAAGTCCTTTATTAGGTAAAAGTAGACTGGTATATTTGGTGACTTCCGTGAAATTAGTCTATATATTATTTATTATTATTTGTGATGGCAAAAGAGACTTTTTATGTGATATTCCAATCATAACAATTCCATGATTCATCTTGTTGTGATTTCTAATGAATAATCATTTATTTATAATTATTACATATACCTAGTGCATATTTTGTCCAGCCATTTTTGTTAAAAAGGTATTCTTGTTGGCATCCAGGTATAAATGATGTTTCAGGAATTGAAGGAAGCTTATGAATTGCACTTTCATGATTAATAACTTAACAAGTACACAAATACTAACTGAAGTTATACAGAAAATAGTAAATATTTTTATACTTACTTTTCTACTGATTGAGAACCATAAAAAAAATAATAGTTCACCTTTGATTGACTCAGATGGAAAGCAAGAATGCCCCCAAGGGGGACCTAATTTTCGAACAACATGAGGCAAATGCAACATGTTATGCACACTGATTTTTTTTTTACCTAAAATATAATGAATTAATATTTCAAAATTACTCAACACCATAAAGAGCTGAAAAAAGGAAGCAGTTGAGCTGTATGAGTCTCACACTTTGATACAAATCACTCCCAGTAACTTCAGATAGCAGAAGATGTATTCCTTCAAATAGTAGTAGATAATGTTGATAGCATTGTTCTGGCAGAATGCCATAAAGTGCAGCAGCAGAATAGTAAATTAGCCATGCACGTAGCTCTTGTGCTAAAGAACCAAAGTTAAATTTATTTGACATTGTATTACCTTTCCAAAATTTAAGTGTTGTCTAAACTTCTCGGAGTTCCTTGAATTTCATTACGAGGCTTAATAGAGCATAACCTTTGGTCCAATATTGATATATTACTTCCCATATAATAGAGAGAATCATGATTTTGTGACTGTAGCCATAAGCGAAGAAGCTGTCTGCACACTCCAAGAACACAGTGCATATAATCAATAGAATTTCCTTCAATGAAGTTATTGCCAGGAACAGCAGATAACCATGCTGGATCTTTAATGCCATTAACCTATTAGTTAAATACAATTAATTGAAACCACAAAATACACCAACTGGCAGCTCCATTGATCTAGCAGCATCACAAGAATCCTTATGTGTTCTGAGAGGACCACAAGGGTATTTTCATGGTAGGGATAGACATGACAAAAAATGTTATGTAATTTTGTGAGTTTCGCTTATAATAAAGGAATAATCATGAAATAACATATAATCTTCTTACCTTGCTGCAAACAATATCAGCATCCATAAAACTTGTTAAATTGTGTAAAATTTAAAACCTTTGCTTTTGCAGGCAAGTCATAGGTGATGCAAAGTAATAAAGCCCGGCAAACTATTTTCTCGTGAGTGGGTGGAGGATTTATTTCTACACCTACATGTACATAACAAGTTGGATAGCATGATGCACATGCAACATCACAATAACCTTCATTGTATAATGTCTTGAGTGACTCCACAGTAAAAGAGACATGTCAGGCTTTCCAGAGCCATAACATAGTCCAGCAAAAATTACATTTTCCCTAGATGTCCTTTATCTTTGGTAGAAATAATTTCACAAAAAAAACTAACCTCATTCTGTATAGTAGTTCATTAATAGTAATCAAGATTTGCCAGAAAGCAAATCCAGATGATTGAAAAACAGGAATTCCAGCCTTATTAAGAATAAAGGAGACATTATCCTGAGTAAGCAATCCAGAATTAAATTTTCTTGATAAACTTCTCCATCATGATGTGTTTATAGGATCTGGTACCAGAAGTAGTCTTGTCTCTTTGAGCAATGGCATATTTCTGACATAATTCCATCACCTACAATGTAATAAATTAAAACTTCTGTTCAAGAATGGTTTTTAGTTCAAGACTGATTGATTTTTCAATAAATGATGATATTGCACCTATTGGGACAAAATCAGCATTGCAATTTGCACTGGACTTAATACAATTATTGCTCAAATTATTGTAGCAATAACTGCAATAATAGTGAAGGAAAATGGGGTACATAACATCAGAAAATTGCTTCATGACATGGTACAATGATGACACACATTGATTTGGTTGATGACATTGGATTTGAACAATTTGCAACAGATCATCTACAGCTTTGTCTGTTAAATTATGTCTTATCTTGAATTGCAGCATTAGCACACTGCTAGAATGTACAGTCATTGCAAACCCATCATAAATGTGCTCAGACATTTTTGAAACTACTGCCACATCACCTAAATTTTCACCATCATTATCACTATTGCTATCATCGTAAATACTGCAGTTTGCATCAGTATTTGAGTCAGCATTATCAGAACTTTCAAGATCATCTTCCAAGGCGCTACTGCAATGC